TATATATATATATATATATATATATATATATATATATATATATAAATAAAAGATTTATGCAAACCATTTAAATTCAAAATCTTCTGAACAGGTGGGATGAGAGCAAATGAAGACCCTGAGCAGGTGAAGGAGGGGATCCAAGAAGGATTCCTAGACATTGATCGACAAATGCACAAAATGGCTCGCCAGGACAACTGGGACCGAAGTGGCTCCACCGCGGCAGCCGTCATCGTTTCACCGCGCTACATTTACTTTATCAACTGTGGGGACTCGCGCACACTGCTCTGCCATGACAGCAAGGTGGTCTTCTACACAGAGGACCACAAGCCGTTCAACCCCAGGGAAAAGGAGAGGATCCAGAACGCCGGAGGCTCGGTGACCCTGCAGAGGATCAACGGCTCACTGGCCGTTTCCAGAGCGCTGGGAGACTTTGACTTCAAGGAGGTGGACTGGAGGCCGCAGACGGAGCAGCTTGTGTCCCCGGAGCCGGAGGTGTATGAGATGGTGAGGACGCCTGAAGACGAGTTCCTGATTCTAGCCTGCGACGGTGTGTGGGACGCCATTGGGAATGAGGAACTGAGCGCGTTTGTGCGCAACCGTCTGCAGGTGTGCGACGACCTGAGAGACATCTGTGCACAAGTCATTGACCTGTGCCTGTATAAGGTGAGAAGCCAAAGCACGACCCAAAACCACAACCCAGACTCAAAGCAGAGTTAGAGTCAGAGTTTCTTTATTGTCGTTCGCACCACATGTACCGAATGTGGTGCGAACAAAATTATGTACACAGGGTCCCAGTTACATCCAACAATAAAATGTAAAAGAAAAACAGTAATAAGATCTAAGATGTGAATTAAGACAAATATAACTAAATATACACCAAGCACTAATAGCATAAAAACAATGTCGAACAGCAGCACGAACATGAGTCTGTGTGAGCAGATGAGCACGAATGAACACAGCAACGTGAAACAGATCAGCAGAAACATGAAACAGATCAGCAGCAACATGATGTGATTTTTCACAGTGATTATTCTGGTTAGAGATTCATGAGTCTAACAGCCTCAGGGTAGAAGCTGTTCCTCAGTCTAGTGGTTCTACACTTAATGCTCCTTAACCTCTTTCCTGAGGGGAGTGGGGCAAAAAGTGTGTGTGCTGGGTGAGTGGGGTCCTTCATGATGCAGGTGGCCCTCTTCCTGCATCTGGAGGTGTAGATGTCTGTGATGGTGGGGAGGCTGACTCCAACAGACTTCTGTGCAGCCTTCACCACTCTCTGTAAAGCTTTTCTTTCTGCAGTCCAGAGATATTTGAGTTTTGGAATTAGTCAGGTGAATAAATGAAAATGCAAATTTGGCCTTTATGAAATGTACTTCGAAAAAAAGTACAAAAAAAAGACCAAAATGCTGGAAAACATTGAATTATGTTATAAAAAAATGGAAAAATTAAGATTTCGTAAAGCTCCCTCGGTGTGACGGACATCATGACCAACATGTGTTAATAATATAAGTTAAGTCTCAGCATGTGGACAATGACATTTCGTGTAGAAGCATCTAAAATCAAAAAAGACACACAGGAAGTCTATGTTTTACAAGGCCATCTTACATTTGACTGTTTGCACTTGTAAAGAACCAAAATAAAAACTGGTAGCTGCATGTTATTAACAGCCTACAGGGACCAGGCATTGAGTTTGTGTTGTTACGTAATTAGTCTCTGCTGCCGGTCCTATTAACCGTTTTAGTAACTAAATACCACTGAGCCTTTTCCTTGACTTATAAATAGCTGTACTGCAGCATCCTGGGACATGAGACTGGGGCAGGAAAATCTGCACGTCTGAGATTAACACTGGTTGTGAGTGTGATGACGAGAGCTCAGCATTATGGCTCAACACAAACCTCCTCAGAGGCCTAATCCTGACCGCCATGAGCTGCTGTTTGTTTCACCTGAAAAGACTTGCTGTACCTGAGAGAATGCATGTCCTGGTACACCCTGACCCGCAAACATGTGTACGATTCAAAACCTTAAGACTGCAGTAACATGATCATATTGATAGTTTGTCACAATTTGCTTATCTATGATAATGATGACACATAATTAGCTATAAGACTAAATCTGACCTCCTGAATCACACACAGACCTTAAAGCCGTCTTTATTTCCATTTTGTTTGCTAGAATCTCAGTTTCCAGTTGTGCCAGATGGAGTTTTTCCTTTCGCCTGTGTTCTTGTCATTTCCAGTTAAATTCAAAGTGTGTGTGCCCCTCTGCAGGGCAGCCTGGACAACATCAGCGTCATCATCGTGTGCTTCCCCAGCGCCCCCCAGGTGTCACAGGAGGCGCTGCAGCAGGAGGCAGAGCTGGAGCAACACATTGATATGAAAGTGGGAGGTGACTGGTTAATTAGTTAATTAATCTAACTCATTATTAAGTTAGTTAATTAAATGTACCTACTATATGATTAAACTACTATTATCCCCCATCACTTCAACTGACCCTCAATGCAGAAATTATCCAGACGATGAGGTCCAAAGATGAGGACCCCGACATTCTGTATGTCATTAAATTCCTGGCAGAGGAGGAGATCCCGGGGCTTCCACCGGGAGGAGGCATCACCAGCAAGTGAGTGAATATGTCTCATAGCATATGACGACCAAAGACGATATGTTGAGGCATCAAAGCCGAGACGTGGCTACAGAACCATCTTTTTGTCTTCACAGGCGAGACTGCATCATATCTGCGTATCAGAAACACATCTCGGCCCCACAGACTCAGGAGCCCATGGTGAGACCCATCAGATCAGGGTTTTATGATAAAGCTGTTTAGTCAAGAAGATTCTGAAGTCAAAGCTGGTTGATAAAAGGAATAAGACCAGTGTTTGATTTGAGAAATCTTATTTTGACAGGGTGCGTACCAGTAACTGTTTGCTTGGATCCAGTAACTCTCAGGCTTACTAATAATAAAGTTAGGAACAAATATGACTGCTTTGAACGTATAAAACCTACACTGGATACGTAAATTGAAAATAATTACATAAACACTAATTTTAAACATAACAGTCACTTACAAGCTACTTAATATCACACAAGAGCTGCCCTTTCAAGTAAGCATTTCTGCCTCTACCCTTAAAAAAAGAAACTCTGCCCCTAAAAATCCAAACTCATTGCGCAATTAACAAACTCAAAAATACAATTAAACAGCACAACTACATTGCAAATCAGTTTGACAGTTTAAGTGGGTTATTAAGATTTTTTAAAATTCAAAAAGTTCAATCTGGTCCTCTGGACATTCAAAAAACAAAAAACAACACAAAGCAAAAAATATAGAAACGTTTCGTCTCTCATCCAAGAGACTTCCTCAGTCTGAGGTGCTGTTTTCAGCTCAGTCTCTTAAATAGCACCTTCTCAGAGTGGATCAACCAGTTTTGCTGCTGACAACCAAAACCAGCTGATCACATGCTCAAGAAGGACCATCAGCCTAACAATGGATCATTAACACACTGATGGCTGTTTACTGTTCACAGAGGGCTGAGTGATACCAGCAATCACAGCATTGTAAGAGGGGGACAGTTGAACACGGAGGCCTCCACCCCTGTTTAATGACGGACGATTTCTTTTCACAAAGATGGCCTCCTTTACTCCTCTCTCAAACCATCGTTCCTCTGTGTCCAGGAGGTGCACATCTTCATCCTTGAAAGAGTGACCGCTGGCCTGGAGATGAGTGTAGACCGCAGAGTCCTGGCCTGATGATGTTGATCTTCTGTGCTGGGCCATCCTTTTGGCCAGTGGCTGTTTAGTTTCCCCGATGTAAGACTGATCACAGGCTGATGGTCCTTCTTGAGCATGTGATCAGCTGGTTTTGGTTGTCAGCAGCAAACTGGTTGATCCACTCTGAGAAGGTGCTATTTAAGAGACTGAGCTGAAAACAGCACCTCAGACTGAGGACGTCTCTTGGATGAGAGACGAAACGTTTCTATATTTTTTTGCTTTGTGTTGTTTTTTGTTTTTTGAATGTCCAGAGGACCAGATTGAACTTTTTTGAATTTTTCTACCTGGATTATTGAGCATGCATCAGGATATTTTTTTAAATTATCTATTAAAAATACAATGAGAGAAAAGTTTGATGTGTATTATTCATATTACATCATGTATCAAAACAACGGTGCTAATTTGTCAAAATAACAATGATAAATCTCGAAAAAAGCTACATTACTACACAAAGCTACATTATAAAGTGATGTAAAATAGAACTATTGTTAAATGTTTCAGTTCAGTTAAATTATAGAGTAGAATTAATGATGAGTAGAGAACAAAGACATGCGAGTTAAAAACGATATACGTGATTTTTCTCGTAAACTAAGGAACAATTATTAGTTTTTAAACAGTAAAAAAAGGGTGGGATCTAGTGTCTTCCTACTTCCCTTTTGACCATGTTTAGTAATTACTGTTTTTATATTTATTCCTTTGTTTTGTTTATTTGTTGTATTATTAAAACCATGTTCAACGTAAAGCCTTATCCTGATTTTTGTGGCAATCTTTAAACATTTGCAAAAGGCTTTTGGTTCAAGCCAAAAGATTTGTTAAAACAAAATGAAGGAGGGGGCTAAAACTTTAAATGTGCTACTTTTGTATTCATGCGTGAACTTCTACCTTGTATCAGTGACAAAATACAATTAGCTTTAATAAAACTAACTCACAGTCTTGTGTCCTTTCAGGACATCGGAGGATCAGAGGAGGACTAAAAACTAAACGTGGAAACAAAATCAACACCGGCATCATCGTCTCCATGGCGACAGAGAAGCTGCATGAAGTAGATGGGCGATAAACTAATAAAAATATCAGTGATTTATTAATATTTCAAAGATTTTCTTTCTGTTCGAATAAAATAAAGCTTGGATTAAACATTGGTGATGACATGTGATGTACATTGTGAATGAACACTGTAGAGATCCTGATCTGTTCATCTTTCACTCAGAAACAAACTGAGATTACAATAAAAACACGTCAACAGGTTTCAACAAAGAAAGGTGTGCTATCAGGAAAAAGAGCACAGAGTCTTTAAATTGGAGCCTGACCGATATAGAAATTTTGACTATCACAGATACTGAGAGGGAAAGGCCAATGCAGATAACCGATATACTGGCTGAAAATATCTGAGCTTTGTCCACCACCAAGAATTTAAGTAAATGGATACTTTTAAACCTGTTTTAACTCGTAAAGTCTTCAAACAGTCTTCCTAACGTGCGTTCACATTTTCCATCCTCTACTACTCACCATAAAGTTATCAAGTGTGTTACATCAATATACATAAACAAAGAAACACCCATCCCAGTTCATTGTTTAAACAGTTAGTCACGTATGGTGAAGTAATACTAACTAACTAATAATACTAACTTAGTATTATTGACTGCAGTGGCACTATTTTTTTTCTTTGTAGAGAAGTAAAGATTTCAGACAAACAATGCATTTCATTAAGGACAACAAAGATAACGTTACCAACACTGATAAATTTTACCTCTACGTTAGATTTATTGTTCTGGATAAAGTTTTCCAAGGCCTATGCTAGGTCATCTAAACGTTAGCTTGCTAACTTGAGAGGCACGTGGCTAATGACAAGCAGGTTGGAGGACTGAAGAGGATTTATTATAGTAGATTTTTATTTAATTTACAGATCAGTTACAATAAACCTGCCATGCTCCGTTCAGCAAAATATGCTACACAGTATTGCTCGCTGCTTCAGCTGTGCTGAAAGTGTAAGTGAAAGCAGCCATGACTTCAAAAGTTGTTTGCATGCACCCTCTGCTGGATACATTGTGCATTTACACCTTTTGCAAGTAGACATGGCACGTGCCCAGCCTGAGAAGGGGTTCTCTGTAGGGGTGCACCGATTGCAGTTTTCTGGCCAATCACCGATTTCTAAAAAGTCTGACCTGCCGATTCTGATTTTGTTTTATAAGCGACACCGTCAGGTGTTATAAGGTCACAATGCACCTTCAATTTTCTAATCTTATTTTATTGAAAAACATACCCTTGAACAATATCCTAGAAACAATACAAACTTGTTTTAACTGGCCATGAGGTAGTGCTCTGAAATATAAATGAAGTTCAGACAATTGTTAAAACAAAACAAAAAATCTGTAAAATTGGTTTCTCGTGGAAGTATCGGCCGATTCCGATTTCCCAAAATTAAGGAAATTGGTGCACCCCTAGTTCTCTGCAGACCAAAAGTGGGCGTTTCTGGAGAGTAGGCGTTTCTAGAGGACAAACACAGATTGGCTGGCTGTATTTGCTGCTCTTTAGTTAAGTTATATCAGCTCCTTTTAAAACTGAAGGTTTCTAAGAAACAGCGTTATATCTGCTGTCAAACACAAGAAGATTCTCTTGTGTTCTTGGTTGTAGCTGCACCTGACACAGGTTGGCTTGAGTGTGGTCTGGGTACAATGAAATATGAAGCATCTGAAGCAAAACCTGCTCCATTTGTCAAAAAGTCTGGTCTCAATTAAAGATCATGAGTCCTATGACGAGATAATGGCCCAAAACAAAAGCTAAAAACAAAATGTTCTCTTTAGAAGTTCTTCTATGAGATCTGATCTATGAAAGGAGCTGAAACATGGAGTAGGACTGACCCTTAAAATGTGAGACAGCTGAGGAAGTTCACCAGTAAACAGAATACCTGCTCCAGTTGCAGAAATCTTACAGAAACTGACAATCACTCATCTGCAGTGACTCATTTAAAAGTTGAACAAGAAAATGTGACGTTAAAGGAAACATCCTTTATCCCAAAGCCAGTTTAAGTATCATTAACATTTTGGTTACTTTATTTTTCTTTATTTATTAATTGAGTGTAATTATTTTCACATTATTCAACAACCAAAACGGATTTTGTCAGAGTCAGAGTCAGAGTTTCTTTATTGTCATTCGCACCTCATGTGGTACATGTGGTGGAGCGAAATTATGTACACAAGGTCCCAGTTACATCCAACAATAAAATGTATAAGAAAAACAGTAATAACATCTAAGATATGAACTAAGAAAAACATCAACTAAATATACACTAAGCACTCATAACATAAAACATTGAACATCAGCACAAACATGAACATGAGTCTGTGAGCAGATGTGCACGCATGAACACATCAACATTGAAACAGATCAGCAGCAACATGAAACAGATCAGCAGCAACATGATATGGTTTTTCACAGTGATTATTCTAGTTAGAGATTCATGAGTCTAACAGCCTCAGGGTAGAAGCTGTTCCTCAGTCTAGTGGTTCTACACTTAATGCTCCTTAACCTCCTTCCTGAGGGGAGTGGGGCAAAAAGTGTGTGTGCTGGGTGGGTGGGGTCCTTCATGATGCAGGTGGCCCTCTTCCTGCATCTGGAGGTGTAGATGTCTGTGATGGTGGGGAGACTGATTCCGACAGATTTCTGTGCAGCCTTCACCACTCTCTGCAAAGCTTTTCTTTCTGCAGCTGTGCAGCCTCCATGCCACACATTGATGCTCGAGCACAGGATGCTCTCCACTGCACACCTGTAGAAGGAGGTGAGGACTGAGCTTCCCAGACCAGCTCGCCTCAGCCGTCTGAGGAAGTAGAGTCTCTGATGAGCTTTCTTGATCAGGCTGGTGGTGTTGTTGCTCCAGCTGAGGTTGTCATTCATGTGTACACCCAAGTACTTGTAGCTGGAGACCACTTCCACCGCAGATCCTCTTATGTTCAGGGGGGTGTAGGTGTTTTTGTTCCTTCTGAAGTCCACAATCATCTCCTTTGTCTTCTTCACATTGATGTGAAGGTTATTCTCTCTGCACCAGCTCTCCAGGTGTTCCACCTCCTGCCTGTAGCTGGACTCATCATTGTTTGTGATGCATCCCACCACCGCTGTATCATCTGCAAACTTTACAATGTGACAGCCTGGATGGGTAGCTGCACAATCATATGTGAGCAGAGTAAACAGAAGGGGGCTCAACACACATCCCTGAGGAGAGCCAGTGCTGAGGGTTATGGTGGAGGAGGAGAGGTTGTGGATCCTCACTAACTGTGGTCTGTTTGTTAAAAAGTCTAGTACCCAGTTGCAGATGGAGGGGCTTAGTCCTAGTGTGGATAGTTTGTCCATCAGGGTTTGGGGGATCATGGTATTGAAGGCGGATGTGAAGTCCACAAAGAGCATACGGACGTAAGAGTTTTTCTGCTCCAGGTGGTTGAGTGCAGTGTGGACCACAGAGGAGATTGCATCCTCTGTTGATCGGTTCTCACGGTATGCGTACTGATGAGGGTCCTCGTTGATGTTGATGGTTGTTTTGATGTGAGTCATGACCAGTTTTTCGAAGCATTTAGTGACTATCGGGGTGAGGGCCACTGGCCGATAGTCATTCAGACCAGTCACTGTAGAGCTTTTTGGGACTGGGATGATGGTGGCAGTCTTCAGGCAGGTGGGAACTGTCTCCAGGGTAAGTGAGGTGTTAAAGATGTCTGCCAGCACCTCACAGAGCTGATCAGCACATTCCTTCAACACTTTTCCGGGGATGTTGTCTGGATTTTGAATCGGGGATTTTGTTTATTAATGTATATAAAAAAAAACATTTAGCTCTCCCCACTACCCATTTATGTGGCTCTTATTTTGAAATGTAACCGAAAGTTCTGTGTTAAGAGAGGCGGAAAGAGAAGTTATGGAGACGCCGCTAACGTCGAACCGAGACGCCGCCAATGTTGAACCTGAGACACCGCTAATGTCGAACCGATTAACACCATAGACATAATGTCTGTGGTTAACACAATCTGCCAATAACGCCTTGTTTTTAGACATAATAGGTCTGTGGTTAACACAAACACCTTGTTCTATTTCATATAGGCTTCGCCCTTTAAGGCTGTCGCTGATGGGTTTATCCCGTTATGCAGAGCATAAGCACTGAAAAAATTTAGTCCACGCCCACCTGCTGTGTGGGCCCCACCCGGTCCGTATAAATTACGTTAAGAGCGGGAAATCGGCTCCCATTTTTTCTTCAGCGAGCTAATATAGCACTGTCAGAAGAACAAAGAAGATAAATTGTGTAAATGACCAACCTTGTGAAGGATGCTTGGCCCGGCAGTCGACCTCCGGTCGTCCGGTGAGTTCTCCTCCCCGAGGAGAAGATGACAGCAGTCTTATTCCAAGGTAAGCGTCGAGGAACATTTCCCAGTGACAGGTCACTACACGCTGGACAACGCCATCTTGTGTTTTTTCCTCTTATCGCCGACCCTCGGGGCGAACCGGATGGTTCCTCCGGGGCAAGGCGTGCTCAGCTGCAGCCCCCGCTGCTCATTCCCTCCTGGGGAGCGTAGTGTAGGTGGAGGGGGGCTGAGTGAATGCTCACCCCATCCCACCTCGTTTCACATCGGCGATCACACCGCTCCCGGCCGACAGCGCCCTCAGGGGTTGCCCGGCGGAACCCGGGAGGAGGCTGACATGAAGGGACCCCTTTTTTCTACGTCCCTCGCCTTTTCCCGCCAGTTCGGATGATCGGCGGAAAGGTTGTTTTTCACTGGGCTCCACTGTGGCTCACCGTCTTGATCCATACGGCCTCGCGTTCCAACAGGACGTTCCACGGGCGAGGCCGCAGACGGTTCTTTCCTGGTAGATTAGAGGAGTCGGTCCCTAGTCCGCTCCCATCACCAGAGTTGAGGGATTCACCGAGCGGGGCTATTCCTCGGTAACCCCCCCTGGAGCCAAGCCTCGCGGAAGCTTCCGGAGCGAAGCTGCCCAGGTCGGAGCAGCGTCCCGTCCCTCCGGAGGAACACGAACCAGACGGCGAACACGCTCTCAAA